TACGGCTCCCACCTTGTCGTTAAAGGTCCCTTCTCCCGGAGATTGCCGAACCCCCACCCCGCCCCGAGTGGCCAGTCCCGCCGTACCCACCTCGTCGCCGAAGCGCACCAGCTTCTGGCCCGTGGGCCCGCGCAGGCCGGGGAAGCGCGCCGGGTCCCCCACGTCCCCCGCGTCCGCGGCCGGTGCCGCGCGCGGCCCCACCAGGCAGCGGTCGATAATCTCGTCCTGCTGCGCGGGCGCCAGCCGCGCCCACTCGGGCCCGTACTTCTCCCGGATCTTCTCCTTGTCCTGCATGATCTTCCTGGCCATGGGGCTCAGCGACGAGAAGTAGGTGAAGCGCTTCCGCTCCCGCTCGTCCAGCGGCCGGTTCCCGCTCATGACGGCCGAGCGCGACGCCGCGATCGCCGCCGCCATCGACGCCATCCCCGGCCCGCGCGTCCCGGCGCGAGCACCGCCTCCCGGGGCCGCCTCCGCCCAGAGCCCCGCCCCCCCCCCCCCCCCCCCCCCGATCTCCGCCCCCCCCCCCCCCAGCCCCCCCCCCCCCCCCCCCCCCCCGCTCCCCTCCCCGGATCTCCGCCTCCTCCTCCCGAAGCCACCGCCCGCGCCCCGCCCCGGAGCCCCGCCCCGCCCCGGAGCCCCGCCCCCGCCTCTTCCCTCCTCGGAGCTCAGCCTCCTCCTCCCGGGGCCGCCTGCGCCCCGCCCCGGAGCCCCGCCTCCGCCCCGGAGCGCCGTCTCTGCCCCGCCCGTCCTGCCCGCCGCGCCCGCCTCCGCCCTGGCTGAGGCCCCGGAACCTCCCGGCCACCTATGCGCTCCCCCGCACCGGTCCCCACCGCGAGCCGCCCCTGAGCTCTGTCAGCACCGAGGACCCGCTTCCATCCCGAGTTCTTTCTCCAGGAGAGCCCCTCCCCCAGCTCCCCCTCGCACGGCCCTCCAGTTTTTCCCCACCGCGGGGGGCGCTTTCCGGGACCCTAGGGCGTCTCCGGGGCGGCTGCAGAGTGCCCCCGGCACGCGCACCGCGGTTGGCAATGGCCACTGGGGTTAACTCCAGGCAAAGCCTGCCATGGCGCCACGTGGCACTGCTGACAAAGGAAACTTCTTTCTGCACGTGCCCAACCTGGCTCTCAACCATTGTCGTTCTTCCGCGCTCTCGCGTGAGCGTTTCGGGTTTGCGCTGCCTGCTGGGCGGTCCACCACACTGGGCAGGGTCCAGACCCGGGCACTGACCCGCCGCTCATTAGTGCTCGGCTCATGCCCCTTGCAGCCTAGGCAGGAGGCTCGTGTTAATTCAAGGCCAACCTGGGTTATAGGATTACTACCTTGTCTCACTACCACCATCCCCGGGGAGAGAGAGAGAGAGAGAGAGAGAGAGAGAGAGAGAGAGAGAGAGAGAAGCAATCAGTATGAGGGAGGTGCCCCAAAGCGCCAAAGCTTCTTTTCTGTCCGAAGAGCTCTGAACCAGGGCCTCTCAAAGCCTTGGCTTTCCGATGCTTGCCACTGTGAGGCAGCTCCGTCCCCCCAAAACACAGTCAATTAAATCTCAGGGCTATGTCTTTAAATGTCATTCAGGGTCCTAAACAGGAATTAAAGAACTCTGGTCAGCAGATGCTGGTCAGTGTCAGGAACCTGCATCCCATCAACTTAAGTGCAGGACAAACCAAAAGCTTAAACTTCCAAAAATGGCCAAGCTAATCCTGGAATTTCAGAAATCACAAGAACTCCGGGAGGTTTGCTGTCTGCAAACAAACTGAAGAGGATGGAAAGTTTCCACAGGGAAGCAGATGTACCCCCAAGGGGTCCAGGCGTGCTAGGATAAGCTTTCTTTGCAGACCACACAGTTATCCAGACCCTTGCCGTCTGATTTTCACAAGACGGTACTGCTCTCAGGTAACAACCAAGTGCCAACCGTAGCTTAGTTGCCTCTGAAATAGCCCTTGCCTAACACTGAAGGCAAGTGTAGAAATAGCTTGAAAGGCCTTCAGCTAAATGGAATGTCACAAATGCGGCAGGCCCTGTATAAAAGGAATCACCACTGAATTAATTAATTAATTAATTAATTAATTTCTATTGCTGTGACAAAATACCCTGAAGGGTTTACTTCCTCCAGCTTCACCAAAGGAAGTCAGGACAGGAGGGCAAGCAGGGCAGGAAGCTGGAGCAGGAGCTGACGCAGAGGCCATGGAGGGTGCCGCTCACTGGCTGGCTCCCCTGGCTTGTTCGGCTGCTTTCTCATAGAACCCAGGAGCACCGGCCCAGGGGTGGGCCCCACCTACCATGGCTGGGCCCTCCTGCACTGATTGAGAAAATGGCTTACAGCTGGATCTCATGGAGACATTTCCTCCACGGAGCTCCTTCCTGAGGACTCTAGCTGGTGTCCAGCTGACACACAGAGCCAGCCAGTCGCCACTGAGAATGCGGTCAGGGTATGGGGGATATGTTGGTTTTCAGAGTGCTTGTGCTCGGCTAGCGTGCATAACGAGTTCCATCCCCAGTATCCTACAGTCCAGGCAGAGTGACAGACACATGTACTCTCAGCACTCGTGTGAGGCCGAGGCAAAAGGACCCGATGTTCAAGTCCATTCCCAGCCACCTAGTCTGGTCAAAGCTAGCCTGCACTACATGATAACCTGTTTCCAAGTATATGTGTGTATGTATGTGTGTGTGTGTGTGCACGCGCTTGGCATAAAATAGGCCTGTGGTTCACACCAGTGACCCTACCATTGGGGGCTGAAGCAGGAGGATTGCCATTAGTTTGGGCTGTACAGTGAATCCAGGCCAGCCTGGGCTAGAGTATAAGATTACGCCTCAAAATAAATAAAAACAAAAATCTCATCGGTATAACACACTGAAGGAAGGAGAGCGAAGCCCTCAGATGTCAGCTGAGGCTTCAGGATGTGAAGGCTGAAGCCACAGACTTGAGGTGCTGGCCTCTCCAAGTTGTTCTAGCTACTGAAATGGCACTGTAGCAGGTGTCGCTCACAGGCTCGGCATGCTGGCCCTGACCCCTGGCTTGTCTCACTGACCGCCTTCTAATAACACAAATGACAGAAGTGTCCTTGTACTGTGAGTGTTCCACTGTGCACAAACCATCTGTACCAACCTACCCCACAGAAGGCTCCGGGAACCCTGCTGAGTAGGCAGAAACACTGGTAGGAGATGGGTGGGAAGCGCGGCAAAGCGGCATGGCGCCACCGTTGCACAGACCCACACAAGAGCAGGCCAGTCGCAACGCCAGCATGACTGGGGAGGGAGTTAGCAGTCAGCGGTTGCTGGGGGAGGTGCAGTCACTCTCCCCAGCGGACACTCTCACACCCATTCACAGACTCAGGGTTAGGAAGATAGGAAGCTGAGAGGGAGACAGGATGGGGGCACAGAGAACGGAATAAAAATGGCGGATAGCGTTAAAATAGACGGCGTAAATGTGTGAACAATTCAAGGAACAGATCAAAGGTATCTTAAAAACAAACAAGGGAGAAGGGCCCTTGTATTTTATTTACTATCTGTGGGCTCAAGGGTCCTTGGTTTCATAAAATTGGTCTCATGCTGTTTTCAAAGCAGTCTCGAGGCTCTGCGGTTAAGAGCACTGGCTGCTCTTGCAGAGGACCTGAGTCAGCACCCACACGGCAGCTCACAACTGTCTGTAACTCAAGGGGTCTGCCACCCTCTTCTAACCTCTGTGGGCACTGCCCGCACACAGCACTTTCATACACACAGGCAAACACTCATACACATAAAATGAAAGCAACTCCTTTTTTACAAAAGGAGTTAAAAAATAAGTGGTTTTGTTGTTGTTGTTTTAAGAAAGAACCAACTTGTTTTGAGGCAAATATAACTTGCTGCCAGGCAAGTTTCTCAAGTAGACATCTGTGACCCCAGCTACCCAGGAGGCTGAGGTGGGGAGACTGGAGGCCAGGGATGGCTGGGAAGGAGAAAGAGCCTTGAATCTGAGGCTTCTTTTCCTGTCAGGGATTCGGCACTTTAGACTGTCATGCTTGCCTTTACCACTGTCTGAGCCCAACAGTGTCTTCTTTATTCTTCCAGGTCAGGAGTTACAATCAAGCAAACAAGCATGGGAAAACATGAGTTGCAGTTTGGATGGGCACAGGCTCATCCAGTTAGTGCTGCCCTTTGGGAGGCTCTGGACCTTTAGGAGGTGATTGTAGTCAAAGACAGGTCATGAAGATCAGCCTTCAAGTTCCACAGACCGAGCCACTCTATCCTTTGTCTGATACCTGCTCCATCAAGATGTGAACAGGCAGCCTTCCTCTCCAACAGCTATGCTTTCCCGGCCATGCCGGGCTGTACCTCAAAACATGGGCCTCAAGCTGCTTTGTCAGATGTTTGGTCCCAGAACTGAGAAAAATAGCTGACAGAACACCAGAGAAACACCAGATGCGGAGCTAATGACTTGGAATTACACAGGGAAATTATGTGTGTGTGTGCGATTACATGGCTTATATATGGCAGTGCAGTATGAAGTGAGTGGGCCAGACGGATGAGCTCTGCTCATCCAGGCCAGGACCACAGGCAAGGCACAGCGCGCAGGATGGCCAGCGCCAGCACGCATGACGCGGTGGCACCATTAGCTGCAGAATTTCCACACTGAGATTTTCTCATCACATGCTTCGTCTCCTTTCTTTGTTTGGGTGTTGAGGGTGAGGGTCGCTATGTCGCCTAGGATGGCCTCACTGATGACCCTCCTTCCTCAGCTTTCTGGTGGCTAGGATTTCAGGCCATACCTCCACACCCGGCTTAAACTTCCTTTTGGACATGGTCTTGCTGTGTAGCCAGGATGGGCTGCAGTTTGTGGTCATTCTTCCCCCACCTCCTGAATGCTGGGATCTACATCTTAACAAGAGCCTTAGCTATCAAAGAACTTTCTAGCTTCTGTTTTATTGCCCATGGCCTAGAGGGTGCAGCCCATGGCCACATTGCTGCAGACATGTTGTCTTTATAGCAGAGTGTCCCAGGCTCACAACTGGCAGAATTTCACTGTCAGAGTGTTACTGAGCCCAGCCGGTAAGAAGCCAGCCATGTCGGAAAGCTCTGTGAGACTGCTGGTTCCACTGGCCTAGCACCACACTGAGAATCATGGTCCTGATAGCTTTGCCGCCAGCCCGAAGCCTCCAGTAGCCCAGGAAGACAAGTGAGGTGCCTTCCGGCAGTTTGCTTCCATTCCCTGGGGGCACGCAGCTATGGAGGGCAGAGTTGTGCCACCACTTTTCGGTGATGCCAGCAGGTTCTGTACTGCACCTGAGTTGTGTCACCAGCCTCATGGCTAGAGTGAAACGGGCACATCCCCTCTCACACCTAGCCCTCCCCTCAGCAGGGAAGGGCCAGATAACCCACCTCTCACTGTCTTCCTGAAGCTCTCCACACATCTTCTCGCTCATCACATCAGCCCATTCTTAGTACCCTAGACCACAGCAATCTGCCATGGCAGTGACAGCCATGTACCCTGCAGTACTAGAAAGATCTGTGGAGATAGGCTGGGCCACACGGGGCATGGGCTATTCTCTTCTATCCTGGTGCCCAATGGAAGACAAGGTGCCCACAAACTAGGTATTCACTGGTTTCTGGGTGGATGTATTCTGCCACCAGGGCTGGTGTGTTGGCACAGGCCAAGGGCACATGACATTTTCCTTTGGAGTCTGAGGCTTGGGTGAGCTTCCTCACGTGGAGTATGGCCACGCCCTAGGCTGCAGGCAGCCAGCCTGTGAGGAGACAGCCAGCACGTGGCCCTGGCGCTCTCATCCGAATGCATTTAAGATGCTGCGACCCTCCTTTCTGGAATGGCTCTTCCCTGGGAAGGAGGTGGCAGAGATATGCCAATGGCTCCTAGGCACCCGGGGGGCCACATTCCGAGTGTCTTCTGGCTCTGTGAGTCACATTGCTGTTTCTGTCATCTGCTGCTGGAGTTCCAGTCAGCTGTCGGCGCAACCACTGGGTACTCTGGCCTGACAACAGATCAGTGATCGAATCTGCCTGCCTGGCACAAATCCCTCAGAGTGCACCCTGGGACCAGCTCAGAAGAGAGTTCTGGACCCAGGATACGCCTCTGTGGTACCCCTTGTGCCAGAGCCCTGTGTCAGCATCACCACACAGAGCACCCTGACTGTAGGCCTGGCTTGTTCCCACTGGACTCAGTGGTTTCCCTCTGCCCCAACTTCCTGTTTTTGGACTATTCGTCAGAGGGGTGTGGAGCTCAGAGTGCAAAGGACCCAGGTTGCGCGTGGAGACACTGTTCAAGACTGTGCTAAGCGCCGAGAGCAGAGGCAGTGGGAGTCTGAGCCCTCAGTTCCCCCAGCACCGTCCTGTAGCCCATCAGCCGGCTGTGGGATGCTCAGAGGGAGGGGACCCTCCCTGTCACGGTGCAGCCTCAGCGAAGGAGAGTGGG